TTATTATTATTATTATTATTATTATTATTATTATTATTATTATTATTATTATTATTATCAATTCATCCTGATTCTCCCGGACACATCTTGGTAAGGGTATCTGTAAGTAATTTTCCTCTCTCCTGAGGCATCCAATAAAAGAATACACTAGGTCGGGGTGTCAAACTCGTAGCATCTCATTATTGTCATGTGATGTATCATGAGTTTTTCCCACTTCACTAAACTGGGGGGGGGGGCATGTCCTGCACATGATGCATCTGGACTGTGAGTCTGTTACCCTTGCTCTAGGTTATGAAGAGTAATAACTGTTACTTGCAGATCCAATATCTACACATATCAATGGACAGCATTACACAGATATCTTCAAGCCACAGTAAATACTGAATGAATGGAAAGAAATTCCTCATTCTTGAGAATCTGACTTAGAGATAGCAATCTTTCTTTCTCACATGTTCAACAGCTGAAAATCAGTATAATTTTAAGACACAATAGATATTCACACATTCTTCCTTTAAAACCACAGTTGTCTTGCAAACTTATCATGGAGCATTCTGTCACATTCTTTATTCTGGTTATTTGAACCTTTTCAAAATCTGTCCTTGCTAGCCATTACAAATTTCATATGTTCCTTTTTTGGTGGTCCTTAATCCTTCCTCTGCTAGCAAGTACTGAGCACTCTTTTACAGGTGAACTACAATAGTCATCTCTTCATCTCCACATTAGCCAATCTTTAAAGGTCTTTGTCCTTCACATCTTATGAAATCTCTCCCTTGCTTTAAGACATGACTTATCTTTATTTACCTTCTTATGTTGCCTCTTATTCAGGACTCCTACTTTTTCTTTAAAACTCTGACTCCTCTTTCAAGGCTATCCAAGGGTGGGAGTGTCGGATCAGGTGGCAGACACATACCCAAACCCTCATCTTTTAAATATGCAATGCATGTAAAAAAGGAACAAGGTTCTGAATATATGGTCATATCTGATATTTTGACTTGTTTAAACCATTTTCCCCATATGCCATGGTAACCTATTATTTCCAAATGAATTTCTCCCCTTTTCCCCACTTCTGCATATCATGACCTGATCAAATACTTTACATTCACAGCTATACTTTCCCCAAACCCTATATTTGTTTCTACTTTTTCAGAACAATTTCTCCCTTTTGGGGGAAGCTCCATACTTTTGATTTATTAGTGGATTCTACACTGTGTACCACAAAGCTCCTTATCTTTTTCTGGTGACTTCTTTATTTTTCCTATTTGTTTTAATATCTAAGGATGCTTGATACTCTGCCACTGACTTTCTACTTATAGATCTATACTTATATATTATAATATTATAACCAGATTCCTAGATTAATATTGTTGCTTCTCATTGCAACCCCCTACAACAGGAGTGTCAAACTCATGTGGTCACAGCATTACGTGACATACTGGGACTTTCCCCCCCTTTTCTAATCTGGGCATGGGTGTGGCTAGTGTGAAATTGAGGTGCTATAGAGTCTGAAGAGGAGCTGTTCGGAATATATATTTAATTTTCTAATCTGTACTTACTTTATCATAATAGAAGAATACTGGAATGTAAGTGTTGTCACCAGAACAAGATATTTATGTTAGATAGAGGAGATAATTTTGAATAGTACAAGTGAGAAAGAATAATAGGCACCCAAAACAAAACTATAACAGATTTGCTTACTTAATGTATTTATATTCCACTTTTAGCCAGTCAAAATATGTCAGGTGGCCTGATGGCTGTTAGTAGCTGATAGTTGAGCAGAAAGAAACATAGCTTTTCTCTCATCAAGGTGAAAGGAAGGTCCTGATGTTTTGATCTGTCTCCACAGTCTAAACTTTTGCTGATAACCATATGAAATGTGTGTGTGTATGTAATATATATATCCAAATTTACCATCATGATCTTCAGAGGTATAGTAGAAATCTCTACCAATTATTCCTTTGATCTTTTTTTGTTATATGTAAAGATTTTAAAAAGCATGAAGTAAGAGTTGATTTATAAAGATTCTGTTTTGGACTAATTTGGGAATCTGAGCATAAATCGAATCAAATATTGTTCATCTTGGTTTATTAAACTGATTAACGCAACAATCTTGTCTTGCACAATTGTCCCCGTTTTATCCTTTCTTTTAATACTTCTTTCTAAGTTGTTTTGCTTGTCAAAGCAAATATGAAATGTTCATTCAGAAATCTGTGGCAAAGCTAAATCTATTCTGGGCAGCCTATCTTGTTATTATCTCTGATAGCCCAAGCATGAGGTTACAAAAACTTAGAGAAGCAGATGCTGTTGGAATATCCGACCAGTTTTTTTCCATAGGGACAAGAAGAATCAGGAATGATTCTGCTCACAACCATTCATCCTTGGTTATATCTTGATTGGACAATTGCAATTAGATAGGTTAGAAGGGCTATGCATTAGAACACTTTATCTGTGGGACTACCTTCTATTTTCAGGTAATGCCATTCACTATAATTCAAAATAGCTCAAAAGGACAATTTTTGAATTCCTTGGTGAAAGTATAGGACATCCCTGTTCTGTTACTTCTCCTCCCTTGGAATACTTGAGGTCAAAACAGCCCCAATCCCAATGGCATTTAGGAAAGCTGCTAAGATCTGGCTATTTTGAGAAAGCATTTATAGACTGGTAGCATGTTTGATTCCCCATCATGCAAAAAGACATTACTATTATTTCTCCATTCAAAGATGAATGGAAGGATGTTGCTGTTACTGCTGCTATAATTTTTGAGCTACCATTTTTATTGTTTGTGCATTTTTTAAGTATCTGTAAGCTATTTGATGAATGGCATTTACATTGCTGCAAATAAATAAATGAGAAACAACTAAACATGAATTCAGAGAAACAATTATAATGATAAATATAGCCAAACCTTAATGCCTGGAGTTTGTTTCCCAGTCCCAATATATCTTAACATATCCTTACCATCTTATGTCTGATTTTCTTCTTTCTCTTCAATAGACATGTAGGGTATGCACACACACACACCCCTACATGTCTATTGAAAAGAAAGAGGAATAGATAGATAGATAGATAGATAGATAGATAGATAGATAGATAGATAGATAGATAGA